GAGAGACTGGAGACCTTTGCTCAGCAAATTGACGGGAGCCACTTGAGAGGAGCCAAACCCGGCATCTCGACGCCCGTGATACGCTGCGGTTGGTCTCGTCGATGGAGTATGGGCAAAATGTCACCATTCAGAGCCCTTCTACTGGTCTTTCCTCCACTCTTTTTACTTTCATGCCCGTCTTGACACTTTTCACACTTTCCCGAGTGCAGAGAGACGCAGATGCGATGCCATCACAAGGCACGCACGCACACCACCACCACATCCATCATCCTTTGCTCTTTTCAGGCCAGCGGGACGGCGAGTGCTGTCATCAGGCATTTAGCTTCGCAGGAGGAGGATGGTATCGAAAAGTCGTTGGACCGGAATACATGGTCCCCTACCCCGGCCCTGGAGCCATTCCCCTCTCAGATATCGCGACATCCATCTCAGCCCAAGGGGACTTTGTGGCGACACTGGCGAGCAAGCGCGGTTCCGAGTCAAGCCATGGCAGGTCTGAATCTGGACATGATGCTGGCTACATATCCGGTATGGCGTACGGAGTATGTAGGTGGCAGATGGTAGGGTCGGAGAATCGAGTTTGATGTCTTTTTTCCCCTACCTTTGCTTTGGCTGAGAAAGACCCTGCATATCTCATCTCTACAGGCATTGGCGATTGATTAACTCATGGCTTGGACGTCAGGCAAGCCCGCGAGAATCCACCTACGGTAACTTGGGAACAATTCCTCTTCCCTACTTCGTACCCCCTCGCCCTGACTACCTATCCCGTACGTATCCGTCATAGGCGCAGGAGAAGAACGTAAAGTCACAGCGCACACACCCTTTCTCTCTACCTTGATCAGACCGATGCTAGTATCCGTACCAGCATGGGGAGTCTATAAGTGTGCATTCTGGTCTGCCTTTGTAGATGCGCGAGAAAGGAGAGTCTGCCCACCAACTCGAACCCCCATCCCGTCCCATGCCCATTACATGAAATGCGCTGCCCCTCTCATGGGTCTCCGTGCCCTTGCCTACCCATCATCAGTGGCGCTTTTTTGGCTTCTTTTGTTTCTTCCTACCCCGAGGGAGGCGCAATGCGTATCCGCATGCCCTAGACGCCGTGACGCCGTACCCTATCCTACGCTACGTTACGCTGAGACCTGACCTTAAGTTGGCTAGCCTAGTTTGAACCTGCTTGGATTGGATAGATGGGGGAGAACAGAGCTCTTGCCCGTGGCATAGCGCTAGAGGCGATGGCGAGCGGGAGAGACAGATACCGGCACCTGGTGGACTGGGGGGCTTTTCTCTTGATGCTGGTGCACACGAGTGTCTACGGAGTACCTACCTTGCCAAAGACTTCCAGAGTCTCCGTTCAGTCCTTTTGGGAGGCAAAGGCCAACTTGCCCAAGGTACGCAGTATGCTCGAGCCTGCTAGCCTTGTCCAAAGTATAGACGACGTACTCGGGTACTTGGGACGGGACGTGGTCGAGGCGTCGACAGCCGCGCTTTACGTTGGTAGTTCTACCCGTCAGGCTTGGTACCTGCGCGGCGCACACCTGACTTGGACGGTACAAACCTGAGCCCGGCTCTTCACTCATAGGTTTCCGCATCCTGCATTGTGTGCGGATACCGCTTTTCTGATGTCTAGGTGCCCCCCTCTCAGTCTCCTCTCTCACTAAGAGAGCCCTGAGAGGAGAGAGAGAGAGGTGTGTGTATATGTGCACACTTTCTATTGCCTGGCTTTGGACAGCCGGGTATCCACTTCCCATTGTCCCTGCCTGCAGCCCCCCCTCCCTCCTCCCACTCCTCCTCACTTACCCTACCCCCCCTCCCTTCCCTTCCGTTGTCTTCCTTCTCTCCTTCCTTGCCCGCCCCCCCTTACCCCCGGTCGAACCCCCATCCCTCTTTCCTTACTAAAATGACCCCACCACAAATCCTCTTCTTGACTTCTTCTTCTACTCACTGCCAATTACACACCCCTCTCTCTCCATCGACTTTCACACCCCACCCCTTCACCTCATCGCTCCACACAACGCACTTTAACACCAAGTAAAGCGACATCATAGCTTCATCTTCTGTCTCTCCTGCCTGACCCGGAAGCACCACAGGATGTAAAAGCGTTGTTCCCTCGCCTCCCCCCATCCCTCTTTGCGAGTTCTACACCTTGACCCAATTTTCTGAACGCTCATCATCAGAGAAGATCATCAGCTCCATCATCCAACCTCAAACCAAACCACGCATTACAGACACGCGCTCCGCCTTCTTTCCTGCTTGCCCTGTGCTTTTCGGTTCGTCACAACTGAAGAGAACAGAGATAGAGCGCATTGAGAGGCAGCAAAAAAAAAAAAAAAAAAAAAAAAAAAAGAAGCAACCGTCTTTTTTCACTGCCCCCAATCTCTCTTTCCACAGAAAAAAACGAGGGACAGATACTGGTACCTACTTTTCATACACACCAAAAAAAAAAAGCACCACAATACGTACTTCGTACACACACAACACGGGAGAGCCCCACTATTTGCGAACTCGAGGAAAAAAGGGAAGGGGAAGAAAAAAAAAAACACCAACGCACCTCCAATTATCGGTCATCCTCTCCCGGCTGACTTCAGAGCCGTCCGCACTTTACACCGCACTACTGAACTACACCTGGGGTCCCTGTCACGACTCCCCAATTGACCTCGAGACTTTGCACCAAACCGTCCTCGACACCGCAGATCTTTCTCCCATTTCGACTTCGTCCCAGGGACGTACTCCAGGTCTCCTCCTTTCCTCCTGGTCAACCTGTCAAAAATTGGGCCACCATCTCTTTCTCTCTCTCTCTCTCTCTCTCTCTCTCTCTCCCACCTCTCTCACATCCATCCACAATCCACAATCCACATCCTCACTCACTCTACGGATACACACACCTCTAAACTACGCTACGCACTGCCGCGCATCCGCTCCGCTCTCGCTGGTCTACTACCAAGTACCCTGCGCAGTACCTATCTACGTACTGAACCTCAACCTGGTCGTCCCCTCCCTCAAGGCTCCTCCTCCTCAGCCTGCCCCCCGGTCCTAATCTGAACCATCCTGCTACCCTACCTAATCGCCCCCAACCCTGTCCGCCTCGGCCTCTTTCCCACGGGATATTGGCGCTGTCGATCACTCTGAGTCGGAGTCGTCACAGCTGTCTGCAGAGAACGGGTCTCCACACTACGCCCATGTCCCGCTGACCACTGTGCAACAAGCTTCATACGACTCTTGCCTGGTCGGCCCAAACGATTGGTCTCAGCTCTCAACTGGTTCAAATACTCGTGTGTCAGTAGTCCACAGGCACACACTTAAACCTCGCTGATCCCCCAACCTCAACTCACCCAACTCCCACGGGATCATCCAGTTCTATCTGATCCGTAACACGACTTGGCTCTACTCAAAGCCGTTGCACTTGCATTCGATCAGCAAACGCTATTCTACCGGACATCTACCTTTGTTGACGCTCAACCTCGTCATCCCATCTTATCACCACCACAACCATCTATCACCAACAACACCACCCACCACAACCACCAACCATACCATCATGACTATGACATTAGATTCTCAGCAACGATTCGGACCCTTAAACACATTCGATCACATGTCTTCCTACGCACATTCATCCACCTCCTCCCCCCAGTTCTCAAACCCGTGGGCAAACACCTCATCACCTCAAGCTCCTCAGGGCTTGTATGCCCCTCATCACGGTCACTCTCTCAACTCGGGTTTGGGTCTGGACAGGTCACACACTGCTAGGACTAGCACCAGCAGCAATGCCTCATCTTTGGGTTCCTACGGACAGATCCCAGTGACGGCAGCTTCAGCAGGTAGTCTCCCCATGGCAGACCCTCTGCCTAGGTCGGACTTACTCACTCTTCCCCAAGATATCCTTAGCATCAACCGCATGGCTGCCACTTCGGCCCCTGCCTATGGTGATGCTCAGTATGCGACCGCCGCATCCCCCGTCAACGGCTCTTACACGGCTTCTCCCACTCCCTACGAGACCTTGGGCTACGCACCTGCTCCCATGCGCTCTACCTTCGCTCTTGCTCCGGAACCCGAACACTCTCGGAGATTCTCTCACTCGTCAGTACCCTCAACTTCCCTGGTCGACGTTACGGACCCCAATGTTTTGGCCCGACCCCATCGCAACTCAATGATTGACTTTAACAACAGAGGACTTCACCACCACGATGAGCGTAGGAGCTTCGCCGATGCTCTCGACGCAAGCCACGGCATGCTCGCCATGAGCCAAGAGACCCCTCGTAACATCTATGGCGCCCGCAGCGACAGGGCTTCAGGTGACTCTTACGGCTTTCCCTCGACGCACTCTACCAGCTCTTCCGTGTCCTCCGCGTCTGGATTCGGAAACTACTATGGCGCCGACTCTGTTAGCGACTACTCTACTGCCGGATCAGACATCGAGTCTGTCACCTCTCGGACTCTCCCTAGGCCCCATGGACTCATGGCGCCTCAGATCCCGCCTGCGCCCCAGTCCATGATGGGCCAGTTCAGCTCCAAGGTGTCGTCGAGCACGCAGAAGAAACACAAGTGCAAGGTCTGCGACAAGCGATTCACTCGCCCCTCTTCCCTCCAGACGCACATGTACAGCCACACTGGCGAGAAGCGTATGTTATATACTCATCATCCTATATGCCAAGGCATACTCCCCAACCACATGCTAATCCCACTATAGCCTTTGCCTGCGAGGTTGAAGGATGCGGTCGTCACTTCTCCGTGGTCTCAAACCTGCGGAGGCACAAGAAGGTCCACAAGGGCGACGCTCGCTCTGAGGCTGGCTCTGAAGACCACCACTCCGATTAATAGGATTTTACTCGCCACTTTTCCATGTACAACAAGCTGCCACGGCAGCGTTGATGTCCTCGAAACGATCCGCGGCGAGTAGGATTCGTACGAGCTCACGAGTTTTCCCGGTTCGAGTCATGACCAACAGTCTATACCCACTCTCGACACCAAAACCCCTCCACATCTGCGAGTGGCTCGACAACGGGGTTGTGACATTTCAAAATTTCTTATAGACGGTTCTCTTTTTTTCATCGGCTTTCCCACGATACCATTCTTACAATCGTTATAATATCCATCTATCTGCGAGCGAAAGAGACAAAAGTCGGGCGGCGGCACAGGATTTGGCGGGCGGGTTGTCACTTTCGGATCATCGTCATAAAGGGTGTCTCATGAGATGTTGGAAATCTTTTACCAATTTTTTTTGGCTCATTTTTGCCTGCGACTTATTCGAGCCCGCGGGCTCCGGAACGATGCGGCAGAGTCGACGGCGCCTCATGGTTTGAGGTACGCAAAGGAAAGGGGGAACTGCAGGAGGAGAAAGGGGGACACGGGCGCGCGGATTCACTTCACTGTCGATCGCTCATCCCCACACCACACAACCCCCAGGATACGGGTCAGGTTGGACCAACCACGTTCTTGTGCATTTTCGGTTTTCAAATATTCGAAAGAGGAAGAAGATCCCCAAGAGGTTGTGGAGGACCTGGCGATACCCTCACCCTTGGCGTTGAAAGGATATTGGGCTGCACTCTTGTTTTTCCCTGCTTTTTTCATACGTTATTCTGTTGCGCGCTCATCATGTCATTTCAGCTCGTTTGGGATACTCCACCCACGGGTCATTTTCTAGATGACGAAATCAGAGGTTGGTGCTTCGGCAGCACACCTCGCAAAAACTCGACCCTGTTCCCAAACCGGGAGGGCGACTTGTACTACTAGCTTCCACACGATGATTATACCCATCATACTAAGAAATGCCACTGCATTTTCTAGTTTGCATCGTCTGGGATTTTTTTCTACTTTGATCTTGATACTCTACTCGTGACTTGAGCAGAGAAAAAGAGCAAAAAACAAATGCTGGCGGTGATGGACGATGTTAGGGTTGAGATTTTGGGAATCCCTGTATATGGGTATTACCGCACACATAGTACATTGCGGACAGTATAATATAATAGTAGTACGAGGAAGAATTCCAAGAGAAGATTCACACATCAACAACACTGCTCCCCTTCATTCTTGCGCGCTCTCCATGTATCCCACAGTAAAGCTTGATGGATCGGCAACGCAAGATCAGACCACCTCTAGTTGTAGCAACGTTCGATCGATTAGTTGCAGGTGGTCAAGCATCAAATAGATGGTGCGGCGCCGAGGGTCCGGGGGAATTGTTCCTCTCCTCCGCCTTTGCATCAAGGTGAGATGGGGAAAGCGACAATCTGCATCCCCAAACAGCCTGCTCCCGAGCCATTTCCCCCCCGGGCCCCCAAAGCACCATGCCTGCCATCTCATCACATATGCATCTCTCCCCGCAATGGGGATGAAGCCGAACGAAAGCATGAGATGAGATGTGTGTGGTTTTGGGGCTTGGACCGTGGACGGTTCGGCTCTCACCGACTCGCCACCTGCCATGCGATGCAATCTATTCGGGCAATGATATCCCCCAATGTCACGGCCCTGAAATTTCAAAGGGTTGGTATCCGTAGTCTAGTGGTTCAACCACGGCGCGCGCCTTTGTCTCATCGCAAATCCAATCGCTTCCGCCGACTGCGGAAGCTGAAAGTATGTGTAGGTACTCCCTATAGTGAGTGGTATACTACCGGCCGGCACCGCATATGCGTGTGTGACAACCCAATGGGAGGGATAAGCCTAAATGAGGGTCGGGCTCACTGCCTTTCTGACGAAACCCCAGAGCACTGCCAGGCACCCAGGAAAGCGCCATGATTTTGATAGAAGGAGGGGGTTCCTTTGGGGAAAGGGGAAAGAGGCTGCGTCGATCTCTTAGAAAAGGGGGAGGGGGTTGTGCGAGTGTTCATGTGAAAACATGGGAGAAGCTGCCGCGTGGTCAGCGATCTGCGCGCGGTTGCGTTCGGTACGCGGGGCGCACACACACACACATACACACATGTTGACATGCTTGGTATATGCTAGGTAGTAGGATGGGAATGCGCCCATGGTCAGATAAGATCATCCATCTTGAACGTGGATTGGATGCCGCCGGGGGGCTCGGGGGAGGCAAAAAAAAACGACAAAAAGTCCTGATTAAGTGGAGGCTCAAGGCGCGACGTCGTTGTTGTCGTTGCTGCCCTGGGTCAAGGTCACCTGGTCCGGGCAAGTTAGCGGCGACTTTGTTTTTGGAACAAGGCGCCGTTGCGGCAACTGAGTCGAACGCGGCGACACGGAAGGGCGGCTAAGAGGGAAGGGTTTTGACTCGCCATGATGGAGGCGTTTTGGGGCGGAGACTCGGGGAGGCTACGAAAAGAGACTAACGGAGACGGGGGACGAAGCAACCTTGGGTTACGTAGATAGAGGGGGAGCGCTATCAAGGATGGAGACGTGCTTACGTAGTTTACGGAGTCCTCAAGGGGATCTCACCAAGACGGTACTAAACCAACTTGCTGTGAAGTGACGGATGGCGTATGGGCCAAAACGGAGGTAACTAATTTAGTGCCATGTGCGACGTGGTGTTAGTTGTAACAAGAAGAGACGGATCCCAAAGAGGCCACTAGAATTATTAATCTGCAATTCTGCCGCAGACACTAAGTCGTGTCGTATGCCCGTCCGTTGGAGCTAATGTATAGTATGAGCCGACCAAGAAGGGGGAATGAGGGACACGGGACGGGAAGACCAATATGAGAGAGGATACAGGGTGGAAGATCGCACATGCAATGGAGGACTGACAGGTTGGTAAGGCCTCTTGGTGGAGCACCCCCCAACTTGTAAGATGCAAAAGAGGAGAGCATCTTACCATTCGATATGGAATGAAGATTGATGAAGACCGAGAATGATGAGGGGAACTTTGTCATTGGCAATTTGGCATTACACCAAGGACTGCGAAGACGGGGAACTGGGGTTCTTGGGAAAGGGGAGCAAGGAAGTAGAGCTCCGCTGAACTGGATGGGTTGGAGATGGATGGGCTGGGGATGACATGTATGAACCGTAACAAATGGAGACTGCGGACCTTGGTGCTGCAAGTGGTGGGCAGGCCAAGGCAAAGGCTATGCAAGATGAGGCAAGCCGCAAAGCAAACCCAATGCCTATGTGCTTGAAAACAACGAGCTATCAGAGAAAGCCTGAAGGGAAATGTGGGAGGTGGAGAAAGTCGACAAAAAGCATGTGCCCACACCGTTGTCGTGGTTGTCGTCGTTCTCAGCATCGAATTGCCTCATCCCAGCCGCAGCCCCAGCTCTTCGACCGTCCCACGGGGCGCAATAAGAAGAGCCAACTTCGGCGCAACTAGAGATGAAGGTAAAAGTGGATGCGCGTGTTTCAGCAACATGTCAGACTCCGCACATGGGCACGCGTCGAGCAGCGAGCATCTGTCTGCTGGGATTTGGCAACAAGGCGACCTCTGATCATTTCCTGCTCGAGAGATATACTGAAGTCAAGCTCGATCAAGCTTTGTAGTGGGCTGAATAGGAATGATTGGACGGCATCGCCTTGGGCGGGGCGATCTTGGACGAGACGGATCCCGGCGGCCCTGAAGTCTGAACTGTGGACTGGCTGGGGACGTTTTAAACCTGATGCCTGGTGCTTTGGGCCACAATGTCGGTCATGTATCCGTCCAGAGAAAAGCGTATGAAAACTCCATGAAGACAGGTCCATTCTGATCATGCATACTCCGTTGGGACCTTGGTCCTTGGGTATACACAACGGGGCCTACTCGAGCGGCATTCGGTGACATGGTCCGGCTCAACTTCTCAAGATGGTCGGTCTGAGTCTCTGAGAGGGCCGGCTCCCTGCGCGATAAGATAGGAACCCCACTGCCCACGACGTCTTTGTTTGATCCTCGGGGAGCATGGTAAGGTTACATCCAGCAGGACCAGAGCGCCAGATGTACCGTACTACCGTACCCGTACCGAGCCGGACCAAAAGCAGCAAGAAAAGGGCACATTGACACAGGATTTGGCTGGGATTTCTGCTCACGAGGCACCCGATTCGATGGAACCAAATGATATTCAAAACATGACTTCTCTGGAGCTTCATCCCCATGCTATCCCTGAATCACCGGGTGCTAGGTTTCGCTGTACATCACACCCCACGAAGCCTGGAGGACGGCAAGCAAATGAGGCGATAAGGCGGACGTTCCCAAGCCTGCCGGAGGACCGACGATCCGCCAGGTACCGACACCGACACACACTCGTGTCCATCCTTCAGCGGATAAGCGCGTGACAAGTCTCCAAGCCTGCCGTGACTGGCTTTCCTACCCCAGATCACGGGAACGGGGATGTCCAGTCGCGCTTCTGCAAGGATTCTGCCATTACACCATCAGAATGATCTTGTGCTCGAATCGCGATGCAGTGCGCTGCTAGTCCGTTAAAGTGATGCGTGATATAATGGAAGCCTTGTGTGCCAGATGCGAGGCGATGCTGAGCAAGCGAGAATCGGAATTGCTTGGCGTCCGTCTTTCGATACCGCCTTTGTCCACCATCCGAGGTTTGTGATGGCATGCGGAGGTTCCGCCCAACTGGCGAGGTAGCATGCGGTACTCGAATTGCAGCGGGCGCGCCAACGACGGCAGCGCAACGGCAAAAAGCTGGCGAGGCGTCAAAGTGGCCGACCACGGAAGGTAAAAGCCCTCGAGTGTTCGTCCTTCCCAAGCCTCAAGGGTCCTACAGAGCTACGTCATCGAGATATCGGCGCACGAGTGACGAGACAGATGGCTGCTTCAGGGGGGGGAAGGCCTACCTATTGACATCAACGTCATGGTGGCCGCGGCACAGACTTTGGTCCTCCTATCGTGTCGTGTGCGGTGATTTAGGTTGTGAGTGGTGATTGGAGTCGGTTATTGAGTTGGATGCGGTGGGTGGGTAGTAGATAGCATAGCTAGTGCCTGCAAATGTATCTTCATGGGTGCTTGGGTGGGTGGATGGGTGGGCGGGAGTGTGTTCGTTGTTTGGTCGACTTCTAGCAGTACGGATAGTAAATGTGCGTGCCCGTGCCCGCAGCCCGCAGCTCGCAGGCCGTGTGGTACGGCATGGTACCGCGGCGGCGCTGGCGGCGGGCCATTTGGCGGCCGGGGAATGTCACGGAGGGATTGGATTCAATCGCAGGCTTCGCAACAGACGTCTCCATTGGGTGGTGAGGTGTGGTGCACCGTACGGATACCCCCTCGGTTGGAGGATTCTTGCATCGAAAGCAGCCAACGAGCGGACGCACTAGTGCGGCTAGCTGCACGCAGACCCAGCGTTGGATTGGGGCAAGGCAGACGCCTCTCGAGATGGGATCTTCAGGGTCCTTCTGCTGTTCCTAGAAACCCTTGGGTCTGAACGCCCACCCCGGATTTTTTTGTTCGATGGGGAAGAGTGAGGCGTGGGTGATGGTGGTGGTGTCGGTGGTGGTATTGGTGCAAGCTCGGTTGACTTTCTGGTTCACGGTCGGCTCGCAAGGGACAATGCATGTTTACGAACCAAATGCGATGTCATTGCTGTCTCGGCGAGTGAGCGAGGTGTGTATGATATGTTGATTCGTCTGTCTGTATGTTCAGGGTCGCGCTCTGTTGGCCACAAAGCTAGGAGGAATTTTGGAGGAGAATAATGAATGAAGCTGGAGGGCTGGGGACGACTTGTGGGTGGCATGGTCATGCTGTCACTCACTCATGCCTCGTCCCTGCTTGCTTTCCCGTTCTCATTACCTAGGTCCTTCCTCCATCGTCGCAGAGTTACAAGTACCACACATCCTTGGGCCCAGCAAGGCCGAACCGAAGAATGACATGCTGTCCTCAGTAAC